TCGATACCTGCAAGGCTAATTCGACACCCGGACAGGCCAATTCAGGCCCAGCACTGCGCAATTCCAGGGCTCCACAGCACAATTCGAATACCTCAATTCAAGACCTCGGCGGACCAATTCTTGTGGCAGGAATAAAATCCAGGCTAATGCTGCGATAGAGCTCTTCCCCAATTCCCGCCCCGATCCTACCCTCCTGCTGCACCCGTCTGATCGCGGTTCTCCGTCGTCAATCCTGGTGGCCACGGATGGCTACAGATGATGAGAACTATGTCCAGAACTGTGAGCTATGCCAACGCAATAAAGTCCTGTCTGGTAAGCCCCACGGCCTTTTGTGTCCCTTGCCTGTGCCGGCCACCCTTTGGGAAAGTGTCACCGTGGACTTTGTTGTAGCTTTGCCCAAAACTGAGGAAGGATTTGATGCAGTTTTGGTCATGGTAAACCGACTCATGAAAATGGTGCACCTGGCACCTACGGTATCATCCTGCACAGCTGAGCAAACTGCACGTTTGTTCTTTGACAACATAGTGCGTTTGCATGGTGTCCCCAAGAATGTTGTGACCGACCGCGGATCACTATTTGCCAGCAGATTTTGGGGCACCCTGGGTGATCTGTTAGGCATGCGTGTTAACCTAAGCACCGCCTATCACCCACAGTGTAGCAGCTGACCGCTGAAAAGGTCTCTCGAGTTGCTGGCGGTCGCGCTCTGCGCGTGTTTATAGCACCGTACTGTGTACTGGCTGCTACATTCCCCCCCCTTTGAAGGGAACCGTCCCGGGCCCTTAGAGCCTCGTATACCGCCAGCCTGTGCCTACCTTCGCCTACCCTCGGGCAGTGGGTACTTACTCCACGTCACGTCATGTGCCGGCTCACATGCGCCTAGCCGTCTTCAGGTTTTTCAGGCACAGAGACAGTCCAGTCGGTTCAGCTATTTTTATAATTTGTGCGATATTCGCTCTCTGAGTCGCCAGAACCGATTTCTACTCAAGCGTGATTGGTGGGGTTTGAACCGATGACTTCAGGATCGTGAATTTTCACGAGGTCTCGATACCAAATGTAGCAGCTGACCGCTGAAAAGGTCTCTCGAGTTGCTGGCGGTCGCGCTCTGCGCGTATTTATAGCACCGTACTGTGTACTGGCTGCTACACACAGACTGATGGACAGACAGAACGTACAAATCGCACTCTTGGCGATATGTTGTGCAATTATGCAGGTCGTACACCTTCTTTGAATTGAATTGTTACAGGGTGGGAGGCTTCTGGGCCATTTGAACACATTGTCATTTTTGCGATTTATCATACTGTACAGCACCATCCAACATTACCACACTGTACAATGCCATACGAACTGGAAGTCCAAGGCGGTTGATCCTGCCTTCTAGGATCCCTCCTCATCCGTTCACCCGAATGTCCGCAGAGACAGAGGGTTCAGCAATCGCCATCAATCCAGCGTGCGAATCTCGATCCATCAACTGTGACCTCAACTCCACATCTCTGCAGCTAGCCATAATCTCACGCTCCCGACTATGTCGGGGGTCTCCCCAAGGAATCGACTCCAGGATCTTAAACTGTTTAAGACAGTAGTGTCGACCAGACAAGACCCTACACCTTCTGTCTGGGACACATATCTAACCGCTGCTGAATTTGCGATTAATAATGCTGTGAATCACGCGACTGGCAAAAAGCCCATTCTTCCTGAATTACAGGTACAATTGGCAGGAGTTGGATGTCAACTTGCCTGCAGCAAAGACGTTTGCCAAGTCCTTTGTGTCCCGACTGACTGACGCTAAATCTTGCCTTGAAGCTGCACAGCAACGTACGGTGGACTACTTTAACAAATCCCGACATGCCATCACCTTCTCGCAAGGGCAGTTGGTGATGCTGAGCCTGCGGTCCTTAGCGGATGGTCCTGCCAGGCTAATTCGACACCCTGTCAGGCCAATCCGGCACCCGGACAGGCCAATTCAGGCCCAGTACAGCCCAATTCCGGGGCTCCACAGCGCAATTCGAATATCTCCGGCGAGCCTGCCAGAACAATTCAAGACCCTGACGGACCAATTCTTTTGTCAGGAATAAAATCCAGGCTAATTCTGCGACAGAGCTCTTCCCCAATTCCAGCCCGGATCCTACCCTTGTATGGTCCTCATAAACTGTTACCTCACTGGGTGGGGCCATTTCCTGTCGTGGTTGGGTCTACTGCAGTCGAGCTGAAACTACCAACTAACATGTGTGTCTATCCCACACTCCATGTCTCTCTAGTCTGACCTTTCCGTACTACTGACTCTGCTGATGCGCTTCTGCCAAAATCTGCTCCTACTATCACGGAGCCAGGAGCCATTAGTTGGCTTTCAGGCAAGCAGACATTTTACAGGGTCGAACGGATAATCCAGTATCGTTGAACGACCGCGTAGAATGTCTACGTTCAATGGATACTGGATTATCATTCAACGGATACTGGATTATCGGCCTACTTCCCAAATAGTAGGCCGAAACTGCTCGCTGTAAGCGCACTGTGCACGAGTATCTTGTCAAATTGGCTGGGTACTCGGCTGAGCATAACAGTTGGGAACCAGAATTTAACTTTACCCCTGACCTGAAACCTCTGCTGGAAAAAGCACGGCAACGAGCACGGCGAGGTAATATTTGCGGGTTTAAGGTAGCTCCTGCACACGTTTTGGCCCGATTCTGCTCTGCTAGTTTCTTACCATGCATCAGGATCCTGCATCTAGAGGGGGGATAGTTGTTGTTACAGGGTGGTATAGCTTCACCAGTGGCCTCCTTCCCGAGGCATTTCCCTGCTCTCACCTGCGAGATGGGCACCCTAATCCATTCACCCCATCTGACTTCAGAGTGTATTCTTTGGGTTCGGCAACTCAGCACCAGCATCCAACCAAATCTAGCGGATCAACTTTGTTCCTGGTCAGCTCGCAAGTTGATTTTTTCACATCCTACACCGTCCACAAGATGGAAGGCCACCTCCCATTTCATCACCCCTCAAACACCTGAGGAGTTGGCAGGCGGATTTGTATTCCGGGAGCAGAAGTCAGGCCATAACCTCTGCCAGCCACCTGTTGTTGTATACCGCTTCTTATATCTGGTCCCAAACTGATACATTTTGTCTGATCTTTCCGTTTCCGCTTGGCATGGTTGAGGATAAGTTGCTGGAATAGGTAACTGAATTCCAACTGCCGATTTTGCCGCCTGTCTGTCAGGTTTATGGCTCCGACCTCTGAGTCTGATTGTGAACGGGAAGCTGTCGTGGATGCCTACAAGTAAACGTCGCCTTATACTGGATTCACATGCTACGTTACGTTGCGAAAACTTTTTTGGAAAAGTGGGCCTGAAAAAGTCACCCAGTTCACATGGGACATTACGACGACGTTGTGTTCGTTGGCGCGAGCTGTGTAAACCATCTCCATTTTATGTCTTTCAATGGCCAAAACTTCAGCACATCCCCTTAGAATCGCAATATATAATCGACGGGTTATTGGCAGCCCTGCCTACTGCAATGGCACTGCATCCCGCGCGAGCCGCGTTTGCCCTAGCGGCCACTATGGATGAAATTTTTGACAACCTTGAGGATATGTTCAATTCTCAATGGCAGTGCTTGAGCGTGTGGGCCGATGCGGCGCGGCCCATGCCGCCGGAAGTGCGGCCGACTTGCCATTCCGCGGACGGCTTCAGCCCTGATACTACAATGGGTTACATATTGGCTATGTAAGCGGTCGTGCGCGGGCGAGCAACACGAGCGGCGTTGTCCTTGTTCATTTTCCAAAATAAACTGCAGCGGTGTGACTAGAAATTCGGTCGGAGTGCAAAGCGCGCACAATTTGTCAAATATGTGGTCTTTATAAGCGATTGGGCTTGACTGATTCTTATAACTCGCGAAATTGGCGACGCAATTCAGGTAACGGTACGAGGGGTCGAAATTCACCCCCCCCCCCGGTCACTTTAGACTTTTCGTCCACTTTACCGGTAACGTACCGTTACCATGTCCGAACCGACTACTTTTCCCAAAAAGTCTTAACGTAACGTAGCATGTGAACTGGCTATTAGGCGGAAGTCCATACGTGCAGAAGTATGGGCGGGGGTCGTAGCACAGGCTATGGCTGGGATGCTGGTCCCTGGCTTGTGGAGCCCCGTCATCAATTGGAAGCATGGATCAATGGTACGCCATTCTGGGACTGGACCGCGCCAGTTCGGAACTGGCGGTACGATTCATGGGATGGCTGCATCCCCGCTATTTAACTCTTCCAATCGGTGTCTTCTGAGGCCACCATCCAGTGGTATCTTGGTTAGATACAACACCCCAGCATGTACCGGTGACCTAGAGCACAACAGTTGCATTCAATACTGATGTTGCTGCAGTGACGACTGTTGTACAGCTGCAGGAAAATGGGGCCCCTTAGCTCAGCTGGTTAGAGCGTGGTGCTAATAGCCATGGGCACGCCAAGGTCATCGGTTCGATCCCGATAGGGGCCACAGAGGAGCGGAAATCTTGCTGCTTAAGGAGGAGGAGGTGGCACAAGCGAATGTGTATGGGCGGGGATGCTGCTCATGTGCATGACGATGCGGATAAGTGGCAGCTCCAGGTGAAGCAAAAGGACTGAGACGGGCTCTCGCAGCCCATGCTTATTGGTCATTTATGCAGACAAACGCCCAGCATCGACATCCTCATGGCTGGTCAGCAGCAGAGTGGCACGGCTCACACTGCATGACAGTCCAGCTCTAGCTAGCAATGCTACCAGGTGCATGCTGGTCTACGGCGAAACAACGCCACCGGGACATTCATGCCAACCCCACCCCCAAAAAACATGTGCCACAAGCTATAGCTTATGTCGACGCACGTTGGCCACGTGAAGCCACCTAAAAGTGCTGTGAGGGAGCTGTGACACCAAGAATTGCTTGGATGCATTCAACACATATGGGATCACAGCCGGGAGTGCATAAGCAGCACAGCTCCCATATGTTGAGCTCTCACGTATGCCGGTCATCAGCTGAAATAGATTTGGTACTTTAAAAGAGAGAAGCCAGAGGCCAGCTAGATAGCGGGTGGGTTTCCATCCTCAGTCACTTGCTCGCTAGACCCTCTGCGTGAGTCCCTTTGACAGCCAGCTACCCACTCAGCAGCCAGCCACCCCTTGACCCAGTTTATCTGGAAGCCGGCGGGCTTGCAGAGGTAGCCCAATAACGAAAATGCTACAGCTCCCAAATATATGTACAGTAGGCGTGGTAGGTGAGCCCCGGACCCCGGCATGCACTGTGCACCAATGACCTAGAGCACAACTGTTGCACGCAACGCGTCTGCTGCTGTTGCTGTGACTGTTGTTGCTGCTGCTGTTGCTGCTGTTGTTGCTGCAGTGATGACTGTCGTACAGCTGCAGGAAAATGGGGCCCCTTAGCTCAGCTGGTTAGAGCGTGGTACTAATAGGTAATCGGTTCGATCCCGATCGTCTTAGGCTAAACATTTGTTACCATCGAATGTGTCCACGTGTCAGTATTTTCCGTCTAAAGCTTATCTAGCCGAGTACATGAGGGGAGCGTCCGGTGTGGGTTGGCTAGCACGTGCGAACCTCATCAGCAGGGCCTCCACCGACTGACCTGGGACCTGCACGCCGTCAAGTTTGTGTGTTTGGGGGGCACAACACACAACGAAATTCACTGCCGGTGTCCGCAGAAACTCAATAACCAAGGAAGATCGGCCCCATAAAATCACATACCAAGTGAAACAGATTGGGCCTGAGGGGTTCCCAAGGATTCACAAAACAGCAGGATATATACTTGCTTGGCCTTCAAATGGCAGGACGTTCGTTTTGGAGAGAGGAGCACGGCCCACACCAGGTAGAAGGGCATATTGCTTGGCAGTTAAGGGTCGTCGTCCGAACATGACATGGGGAACCATGCGCACCAACACTTCTACTACCGCCGCTATTGTTTTTACACACCACTCCTGGTGAAAACGAAGATGCCATGTGATATGAAGGGAGGAAAGGGGTTGATGTACTCCATTCCACTGATTGAACCCCCTATCCTGCTCTGGCCCGTCCTGCAACCCTAGGGACGAACCCAAATCCTAACCAGCTTCCATGCACTCACACATACACTCACAACACATGCTTACCTGCATCCCCTCCAAGTACGGCTCCATATGCGTCCACTCCCAGCGGGGCCTTACTCGGAACAGCGCTGCGAACCTCTCCCCCGGCTCCCGCGGCAGTGAGGATGCGGGGAAGGGGCTGATGCGGGCATCGGCTCCAGAACCTGTCCAGGGGTATAGGGAGGGCATATCCCCATGGTGGCAGGTGGAGGAGGGGGAGACCCTCCCCTGCAACTCCTACACTGTACAAGTCCATTTTAAAGGCTTTCAGCATCACCGATTGGGCTGGGAAACGAATTCAAGTAATGAACGAGCTGGGAGCCTTTTACCCACTACCAGCCACCACAGATCCTGAGCCACTGAGTCCCCCGGGGGACTATTCGGGAAGGGGTCACTAGTGGCGGGTAGTGGGGTAACACGGAAGAATCATGGCTCTTCCCCACAGAGGGTAACGACTGCAGCAAATTCAAGAATGAAAAACAACTGCTGACACCCAAAGCTGTAAACTAACCCTCCTCATATGTGTGTGTCTGTGTGTCTGTGCGTGTCTGTGCGTGTCTGTGCGTGGGGGGAGAGGTAGTAGAAGAAAGGGGAGAGGTCCCAGCAGGTGCGGCGGGAGACTAAACCCCCACCCCCACTCCACCGGGGGGTTAGCGGGATTGCCGTACACTGTGCACCACGACAGGCAAGTGAGACAGGAAGTAGGGCGAATCATGCACATGAAGAAGTCTGCAAACTCATCAACTGATGAGTTTACTGTGGACAGTGGGGTTGGGGTCGAGGGGACCGTATCGTACCGTCGATAAGTGCCTCTGATCGCAGCATATCTAGGGACGGCGTCAACCCGTACGGTACGGCACGTTTCCATGCTTCAATGAAGTCGTTGAGCAGCATGGTACGACCGCCCATCACCCGGCTTGCGAAATGGACACACACCTGTGCGGGATTGAGCAGTTGGGGGTTGAGATGACGATTCAAGCGTGGGGTGACGGTTCAGGCAGTCAAGCCTTGGCAGTTGGATTTCTGGAGTTACGGAACGTCGTACGGCATGAAGCTACTCTGCGAACACGGGGCTGGTCTCCTTACGAGAGTTGGGAGGGGATCAGGGAAAATTGGGGCCTTATGGTTGTTGTGGTCCGCATACACATGCGGCCACCATCACACTGGGAGGGGGATGGTTGTGGGTGGTTGCGGCGGTTGACAGTTAGTGAACGGAGAAGATGGGAGGGAGGTAAGGCGGGAGGAGTCCTCTGAGAAGATGCCGGGGGAGAGCTGAGGGCTGCGGGGACGCAAGTTGGATGTGGCCGCCGGTGAAGGGGGCTGTGGGCGGAGGTAGTTACTGGCGGTTAGGGCCCCTCGAGCTCAAGTCTTGTACAGTACTGCAGTTGTACGACACAAGAGGGACCGGGACCGGTGCCGTGGCCATAGGAAAGGGCCCCCCTCTCTTTCCCTTGCATAATCATTTTCATACACCTACAACTCGATACAACGAGCGCACCTGTGCACAGCTACTGTTATTATACTATATGTTATTATATCACATATATGTATGTATGTGCGTGTGTTACAGTTAAAGAGATGATAATACCTAAAAAGGACGGGGGTGTAGAAAGCGCAGTTTTAATCCCATGCTTCAAAACGAGAGGGCTTGACAAGAGCAACCAAAATGTAATTTTACTTCTTTCGTTGTGCAGCGGAAGTTATGGTGGTGGTGCTGGTGGTGCTGGTGGTGGGGATGGCAATACGGGGTTTGGGGCGGGCGGGGCAAGAGCATGGCCGGTGAAAGTGTGGAAGGAAGCCTGGCCAGGCCATGGGCGAAAAAGGGCTTCTTCCTATAACCCCCCACCCCCACCCAAAACACACACAGACACACAAAGTCTGCCTCTCCGCAGCCTCATCCCCCCTCGCTGCCCTTCCCATCTTTTGAGCTTAAAACCCTAACTACCCAACCACCTCAACCAACCAACGGCCTTACCTTGGTTTCATCCAGGCACCACACGCGGGGATTACCTCGGGCACCACCAGGGCCCCCATCGGACTCAGCTCCCACCGCTGACTTGCCGTACACGCTTAGACAATGCCGTACTACGTCAGGGTGGTATCCATCTTGTCTCAAAGACTCCACCAACACGTCCTCCCGCAGGCACCCCACCGGCATACCCTCCTGCTGGGCACTGGGGTGGGTAGCGGGGTGGGGTGTGTGTGTGGAGGGGAATAGGGTGCGGTAGAGAGACGTGCAATGCGAGGACAACTACTGCCAACGGGGTGTAGAGAGGGGTGTGAGGCGTGTCTGGCGAGGATGTTGGAACGTATGTGGGCTCACCGAAACTCAGTTACCCCTTTTGGACGCTAGTCTGGGCTGATGTTTCCTGTTCTCCGTGGCTTTTAGGCGTTGTAGTATTGCCCTTGGGCCGTCGGCTCGTATGGGTAGTTTTACAGGTATGGGGTCACGCACCCCCAACCATGTAACACACACACATATGTACGTGTATATGTATATGTATGGTAAGTAAGAGCAAGGCGTCCAACACCCCAGCAAGCCCCGGAAAGGCACCTGCTAATGGGGTAATATTCGCGTCACCCCCTCCCCCACCCCCTCCCCTCCCCCCACCTCCCCCCAGCTCTGAGACCCCCCCCCTTTCACAGCCCTCACCCCTAGGCCCTATCCCCTACCCCCGACCCGGGAGGGCGTGTGCTGCCCCGAGTAGTCCTCCGGGGGATTCTTACCTCTTACACCCCCTCTTCCCCCTAACCCCGCCGCCAGGCCGGTGTAAAAACGCTTTCTCCACCTCACATCACCTGTTTTTCTCTATGCTCACGTCAGCTTACGGTCCTTTGCTCTTCATCGCCTTTAAACTTACTTTTAGAATACTAAAGGGGTTTTCCTGCTTTCTTCCTGCTTTTTGTTTTAGTCTTGGCGGCTAGGTAGGTAGTTTTCAGCTATCCTCATGACTACATCATCACGAGGGACTCCTTCGCAAGTCGCGACTGGTTCGTTACTTCTTACAAACTTCTGGTGTATCAGTCTTTCTTTGGCGTCAGCTTCATTCGTTCGTGGTTCGTCCTTTCCCTAAAGCCCTAAAACCCTGACTCCTCCCCTTCCTCCCCCTCCTCCTCCTCTTCTCCCCCTCCTCCCCCCCCTCCTCCCCTTCCTCCCCTTCCTGCCCCTCCACCTCCTCCACCTCTTCTCCCCCTCCTCCCCGGGGTAGGGGCACCCCTCACATCTTTGCGCTGCATTGCTCAGTCAGTACGAACACGCATCACACACACACACCCCTAACCGCCGCCTGCCAGCCAGCCCGGACACGCTCAGACGCCAGCACTCACGTAAGCAGCACCAGCTCAAGCAGCGAACCCAGGTAGTTGGGATCAACTGCACGCCAACGACCAGCCAACTGTAACGCTCCCTCAGCCGCCAGCGCATTTCGTAACTCCTCTGGACTGGCCTGGACGAGCAGTTGAAAGGTTTTTGCCGTATTGGACGAGCAAAACAAAGCGCAGTGAAGGAGTCTTTTAAACCTCAGGGGGCAGTGGACGAGCAGTACGACACGGTACGGGTCTTTCGACGTATTGCAGGCTTCGGGCCCCCGTGAATACTAGTGGAGAATAGAAGAGGGCCAAAGCGAGCGATTTATATCTTTACGTCTTGCATGTACGGCATGTACTGCATGCATAGATGGTGGAGCCAGTCCACATGGCTTGCAACATGTGTCTGGCGAACCACAACCGAATTAACGGCTCAACCACACCTGAATCCTCTCCAACAGCTCCCCAAACGTGTAACCACCTTTCACTCCTCCTCCTCCTCCCCCTCCTCCTCCTCCACGGCCTGCTGCTGCCCCCGCGGCTCCTGTCGATCGCCTCCCCCCCTCGATGTACGTGTCCAGGTCCGCAATACCCGCCGCTGCCATCTCCGTATCCGTCTCCGCGCCAGCCCCTTCCGCAGGTTGCTCGTCCTCAACGCCGTACGGATGAGCCCAAATCAAGTCCCTTATGGGATCTAATCGGGGGGCCACTTCCACCAGCTGAAGCCCCCCGGTCCCCCCGGAGAGGGTGGAAGGGAAGGGAGCAGTGGGGAAAGACGAACCCCACGTGAACGAGTGAAGCTGATGCCAAGGAAAGAGTGGCCAGTAGGCGGGCCGGGGGCCCCCCCGGAGAGCTGTGAGTGCGAGAGAGCGGATGTGGCAGTCCCGGAAGGGAACCGGAATGTACTTTGTTTCCCGTACTCGGGAAACGGGGAGCAGGAGGTAGTGGAAAGGCACATCACATCACGTCACACCGCACCGCACCGCACCACGGTAACTACCCCGGGGAGATCAGAGAGAGAAAACTACTCAACCACGGGGCCCCCATGGGCTTGTACGGACACCCCCGCACTTGTGCAGTTCCGTTCGGAACGGAACGTTCGAACGGAAATTCGGAAAAGTTCGGAACTTCAACTTGTAACTTAAGCCACGCACGCCACGCGTCACGCGGTGTTACACCACAACAACACAACACGCCAGAAAACCCCAAGCTCGGCTTCTTCCCAAATTAACACGGCAAGTGAGTAGCAGCAAAACCAGCGGGAAGCGCAGTACATGCCGTGTCGTACATACCTCTATATGTGAAGTGCTGGTGGCGTTCACTGCCACAGGACCCCCGAGGCGAGCAGCGGAGCGAAACTGAGGAGGGGGGAAGAACTGAGGAGGGGGGAAGGGGGGTGGAGGGGGACGAAACACATCCGTACACCTAACTGGGGGAACCCACACGACAAGGAAAACACCGACACAACCTACATGATTGCGCGCAGCCCCAGAAAGGCGGTATGGACCTCATGAAACTAGAGGCGGGGAGGGGGAACACCCTCCCACACACACTCTCACACGCACACCCAGACACACATAATGCACGGTACGGAAGTAGGATTCCGTACTCCGCTTCCAGGGTGGCCGAATATGTCAGCAGGCGCCGTCACTGATTTGATTACTTGGTAAATGGACAGCGTACTCCGTCCCGAACCCCCGGGATGTGGAAGAGAGGGGAAAAGGAAGGTGGACACACTGCATATGCGGGTGCACGTGCGAGTGTACATACATACCTACGTACATACATACACACATCCTGCCCATAAGCGTAGACTGAACACGCTCCATACACAGCGTGTGCGTGTGTGTATACGTACGTAGGTTATAAGTATCTGACCGGGCCTGACGACACTGGCTGGTCAGGGGCTGCTACCCGGCCCCAACGGAAAGACCGCCTGAGCTCTCTCCCGCGGACGGGGCCTCTGTCCCCTCCCCCTCCTAAGCAGCCGAGAACCTCAGGTCCGCTAGCTCCGCTCTCCTCCCCGGGAGGGGGGATGAGGCGCCACACACTCTCACGAGTCAAGGCTCCACCATGGAAGTGCAAGACTCCTCTCAACCCCGGCCTCATCCGGCTCTCGGGGTAGGGGTTCACTAAGACAGAAAAAAAACGGGCAACCCCGCACAGACCCTACCCCTCTCTACTAAGGCACGAGGCCCTACTAGAAAGCTCGGTCTCTCACCCGATGCCACGCCGCGGGGAAGCGGGCGGGGCTCAAGAAACCCGCGGCGCTAACCCCCTTTCGAAAGCACGCGGCGATGCGCGGGCACGGACTAGGCTAGCAGCTATCAGCTCACCGACGGGGCTTTGAGGCAGCACCACATCGGCACAACTCACACGCAGCGTCCCTCAGTCTGCTCTACAGCCCCCCCTTCGCCTGCGACTCCTCCCAAGCCCCCTACAGCAGCGACCTCTCAAAAGCCCCTCCACTGCCCCTGCCTTGCCGCAACCTGTGGTGAGGCGAGCCATTCCCCTCGAAAAGCCTTCCGTCCAGACCCAACAAAGGTTAACCCTCCCCCTCCCAGCCCAGCATGTGTGCGTTTCTCTGCATGTGCGCGTTTGTGTGTGTGTGTGTGTTTGTGTGCGCGCGCACGTGCCACAGAACTGAGCCATGAATAGGAAGTGGCGAGGAGGGTACACGACAGCAATTACAACGACAGAGGTAGCTTCAATATCGCACAGGCGTTCACCTGCCGGATCCCCCTAACCCTTCCCATGCAAGCCGCTACGCCCCCAACCACCGGGGTCCACGCACTCACCTCCTCTTCCTCCTCCTCTTCCGGGCCCACCAACAACTGTAAGTTGGTCGTCTCCACGAGTTTCATGCTGTACGTACGGCATGAGGTGACGAGTACGGCTTCTTCTTCCTCGCCGCCCTTGATGACGACCCTGTAGGTATAATGTGTTTGTGTTGGGGGACGAGGTTAATTACAAAGAAAGGACAAAGCTGATCTGAGTGAAGTTGTGGGATACGGGGTGGAGGTTTCGAAGGGGCTTTGAGGGTGTGGGTATGCGAGGGTGAGGAGACGGAGATAGGGAGGAGGAAGCCTAGGGCCAACCCAGAGGAGGCAAAGTGGGTCACGCCCTGTGACGTTGTGTGACGAGCTCGGTGGCTGGTGGGAAAGGATGCGGGGATGTGGAGGCAGTTGGTAAGTCTGGAACTGACAAGTTGTGTGCGAAGTGGCCTCGAGTGTTAGGTACCGAGGTTTATGCACCGCCGTTCGTTACATAATCGATGGGGGGTTTGAAAAGTCATGGTGTGGGAGCCGTGTGGGAAGGTATGCCAAGCGCGCATTCAGGCTATAAAAACGAGGAAGTGACACGTTTGCGGAACGAAGCAGGTGCTGGACGCTTAAGAGGATACGCACTGAGGAAACGCTTACCCCTTCTCCATAATCTCCTGTAGCAGCTTTTCATCCACTTCGAGCAGGCGTAGGTCGCTGCGAACACCATCGGCTGCATAGGCAATGGCACGCGGCTGACCAGGCTTCAAGCCCAGCGTGGACATTTTTGGACTCGGACACAACGTAGCGTGACACTTTTTTGTTAAATAGCTTTTGCCATAACCTTTGGACTTTAACCCTTTTCCCAATAGTTTGCCTCGACTGATTTTGTAACGCAGTTCGGCTTCCCTTGAAGATCCTTAGGGTTCGCACGTAGCATGGAATACTTCTTAGGATGCGCGGATAAGTATGTTAACCAGAACATCGTTACCCGAAGTACCGAAGTCGCGCCAGAATATAGTGGTTTCGGAGACCTATGAGTCTGACATATGGGACCCTTGGCTTCATTCTTTATTTATAATCAATCCGTTGCTAGAGGCTTTCATGTCGGACGTATGTTAAACCACGAGTACACGTAATCCTCATAACATCGCGTTTACGCAAAGATTTGAAGAGCAGGTCGCTAATCCTGGTTACTCCTGGATTGCCCGAGCAGACGATACGTTAGATGGCGTCTTGCATATCCATTTGACTGCTGTCTTCTCCGTTTGTTGGTTTCCGACCACCTTGGTGCCCACCGTGATGCAGCTGTTGGCCACCGTCCGGCAGCAGCCAATCGGGCCCCAGCACATCCGGTACCCACCTGCTGCGAGCTGCAACTGTGCCAACCAGTCCCGTCACTGGGTCACTGGACGTGCCACCTAGGCCCCTCCCACCCTCTTCTAGTCCGCCTTCACCCTCACATCCCATACCTGTCACTGTCCAGCCCCTTGCTGCCATCCCCTAGCCAGGCTTTACCAACATCCTCACCACCAAAGTCTCCAGAGCCGCTAAGCCCATGGATGTCACCTCCTAGCCTGCAAGCAACAACACAATCCAAACACCTCCAAGGCCCTTGCTGGCATCTCCCTTACTTTCATCACCACCATGGCCAGGGCCGCTCAGCCTTTTAACACCCAGACCCTTGCCGCCATCTCCCTCACCACCACCGTCGTCACCAAACCCAGCCAGACCCTTGACAGCCACTGCTCACTTTCTCAGCACAGCCTTGTCATGCACAGTAAGCATCCATAGGATTGGTTCATAATCTTGACATCTTCCTATTCCAAAGAAGGGGGGGGGCCCTTGTCCCAGTGCCACGTGACTCAGGTATGTGGCGGCCTTCCCGGCCTCAAAAGCCCGTGTAAAGGCCATTACATGAAAGGATGCCAGGCGACCGGAAGCAAGGCAAGGGAAGGAAACATTGCTCACCACTTGGCATCTTCCCCAGGTCTTCATCTCATGCTTTCCACTCTGCCGCAGCACTTCTTAGACAGAGTGGATGAGGCTGCAGTTGGTGTTCAGTTGCACACGACATGACAACATGACACATGGCATGACATGCGTCAGTCAAGGAGGAAGGTGTCAGCGGCGTCGAGGCCATATTAGCAGGTCTTCGCATTATTAACAGGGAAATAGGGAGACCATCTACCACGTTGTCGAGGGTCTTGTGAAACGAATGTCAAAGTCTACCCTAGCAAGAAGGTCATTTCATGCCATCAGCTTCACGGAGGTGTGAAAAATAGTGGAAAGGCCTTATTCGGTAGGGTGTGGAGGCTTATCGGCAAGCATGGTGGATAGCATTCATAAAGTTGGAGGCTTTATCAGGAAGTGTGTATGTTGTTACAGGGTGGTTAACTTCGCCAGCGGCCCCCTTTCCCGGGGCAGTCCCTGCTCTCCCCTGCTAGAGGGGCACCCTAATCCGTCACCCCATCCGACTTCAGAATGTATTCGTTGGGTTCGGCAACTCACCACCAGCATCCAACCAAATCTAGCGGATCAACGGCGCATCAACTTAGTTCCTGGTCAGCTCGCAAGTTGATATTATCACGTCCTACACCGTCCATAAGATGGGGGGCCACCTCCCATTTCATCACTCCTCACACACCCGAGGAGCCGGCAGGCGGATTTGAACCCGGGTCGACTGGGTCGACTGGGAGCAGAAGTCAGGCCTTAACCTCTGCCAGTGTGTAGGCTTACCTGACAAAGCACGTGGGCTTATGAGATGAGTGTGTAGGCCTAGTGTTCATAAGCGTGTGGTCTAGCGTCATGAGCACGTGGGTTTATTTGATAAGCGTGTAGGCCTAGTGTCATGAGCACGTGAAGCTGTTTGCCCCCGACGTGTGAATGCGGTGCTTTGCAACCCAAGTCTGAGCAATTCTGTTCTATGGTTGCCAGGCGTGGGGCCCTTTTGCGCTGGCAGAGGTCGAGCGGTTGGAGCGGAATACCGCAAGAAGTCATGGGGGTAAAGGAGCGTGTTGACTGGTAGGCCTCTACCCGAAGGAGCAATGATAACGGCACTGAGAGAGCGTTTGGTGAGGGGCTGGGACCATACGCGTCTGACTGCCTTGCCAGAGGAGTACCCATCAGATGGGAAGCAACCGGGAGTGCAAATGGCGAAGTATAAGCCCTGGATGGGGCTGCCCTTTTGGGGCGGGGCCCCAGCGTGAAGCGCCCAGGGGGGCCCCACCCTGTAGGATTGCCCATGTCCGTGTGGCCGTGTGTGTGTGTAAGACCAAACATAATACCTCGCCCGGCTCAAACGCGTTATTGGTAATATGTTGCATTCTCTATTGCAAGGTATCTCGCCTGTAGCCAACAAAAATCGTATGAGCACAAACAAGTTTAGCTGCCTCCATTGACCGAGGCCAAAGCCACATCAACGCCTCTCGGGCTAAATTTAACCGCAAAAGGTGCCGCGTATCTCATAATCAAATTCTGAGATTACGGCGTATGATAACTCGAACACCCAGCTTGTGTTACCATTTGCCCGCAATTTGGGCCTTCCGACTTGCCACCAGCAGGCCGACAAATTTGCTTTCGTTTCTCTATGAAGTACGCATGCTGTTCATTTGTACAATTACTTTGGCCAATGGCAATGTGCCGCGGCGGCTGTGGGGCGGATTGCTGAAGCCTGGCGCTTCGGAAATGAACATAGGACAGCACATGAAAGTGCTGCGGGCTTTGGGGAAGTATGTTGAGCTAGGCTTTGAGGGGGCCGCCAAGGGCGCGTGAGCTGGCGGGTCAATGCCTGAAGGGGCGCCGTAGGCAGTGCGTACGGTGCTGTACGGCGCTGTTTTCCGTGTGTGTTATGGCTGCGGCACCAGACTGCAAAGCCAAAAGGCTGAGGGCTGGCAAGCTGCGATTGTGTCTGCTGAGCGTTGAGCATCCAGCCTGGACCGCGGACTTGGCGGCCGAGCCCCTGCTGTGTGCCGGTAACGGCACCTCAGGCTCATACATTTACGCCCAAGCAAGGGGCTGTCGGTGGCAGGTCGTGGACCTCCCGACTACGTGTAACAGCCAATGACTCTTCGCCATGTCTGCTAGGTTCCAGGGAGACACCGTCTCTTCAACAGGTTATGAGCCCCGGCGTCCTGCCTCCCGCGCTCTGACAAGCATAGCTCCCACCGCATCAGCACTGCTGCAACAAGCACAGCTCCCACCACGTTGACACTACCCTAGCAACCGGCCTGTACGGATGCAGGGGGACTCTGCCCTTTTTCCGGCTTCAAGGAAGCCGACACCCCAGCCGTCATGTGGCCAACACATGCTAAGGTTTTCATTCCCCGTTTAGCACATCGTAAGCTAATGCAGTTTCGTTTATGTTGCTGGGCTCTGGAGGCAAACAGAGCACGAAGAGGCAAGTACCATGTCCCGAGGGGGCAGCGGTTTTGCCGCTGTTGTGGTACTAATAGCCGAATCGAGGATGAAAAACACATGTTATTGGAATGCCCAGCCTATAATGATATTCGTGCTGAAGAGGGATTCGATCATCAACAGAGCATGTTGGAGGCCATGAAATGGGAGCCAGCACGTCTGGCGAGGATGTTGGAACGTATGTGGGCTCACCCGAAACTCAGTTATCCCCTTTGGGCGCTAGTTCGGGCTGATAGTGCGGTGTTTCCTTTTTGGGCGAGGCCCCGGGCGCGAAGCGCCATTCGGGGGGCTGAGCCCCCCGGGTTCACTGCAGTCAGTCAGTCAGTCAGTCAGTCAGTCAGTCAGTCAGTCAGTCAGTCAGTCAGTCAGTCAGTCAGTCAGTCAGTCAGTCAGTCAGTCAGTCAGTCAGTCAGTCAGTCAGTCAGTCAGTCAGTCAGTCAGTCAGTCAGTCAGTCAGTCAGTCAGTCAGTCAGTCAGTCAGTCAGTCAGTCAGTCAGTCAGTCAGTCAGTCAGTCAGTCAGTCAGTCAGTCAGTCAGTCAGTCAGTCAGTCAGTCAGTCAGTCAGTCAGTCAGTCAGTCAGTCAGTCAGTGGCTTACATATCTCGCCCCGCAAAAATAGCGTTTGAATGCTATATCCCTTCTATATCGAAATGCCAAAGGAGAAATTCCAGATAAATCGGAGCGCGACAATCCATGGCTCCGAGTTTGGCGGAGGAGGGCGGGGCCGCCCAGGTCGGGCCGTTGCGCAGGCGGAGGTGCCAGCCCCCACAGCGGGCCATGTCGGCAGCCCCCATCCGCCGGCCGCCTTGCCGCCCGCGTCCCCGCCGGCGGCGGCGGCCCCTGACCAGCCGATCCGCCGCGGCCGCGGCCGGCCCCCCCGCAGAGGGCGCGGAGGAGGGCGGGGCTGTTGTTGACCCATGGCAACGCTCTAAGCACCTCCCTCCTAGCATGTCGTGCCTGTTTGATTGTTGTCCTTCTTATTCTCTTCTTCATTCATTCAATCCAAGTTCAAACGAAGTGTGCCTTTGCGACACACCATCAGCTTTGCCGCTGCATTCCGACTTCAAAGTGTGCAATTGGAACGATCCCCGAATGCATTCTGGCTGGGAGCGGACAACAATTGGTCCATGAAGCACGGACACTTTTGCGCGCCTTGAACTGCCAGCCAGACGGCCCTTCGGTCTGCTATCTGACAGTTCAAGGCGCTTTGTGTGTATGTCATTCTACGGATTGCCGCATCACAAGAAGGCTAACTGTTCCGTCAATAATGATTATGCTATGGCGGCTGCACGCTTGCGACGATGGGGATGAAGGGGATGAAGAACTAAAGGGGAAGAAGTCCAGACAGGTCTACGCTGGTCTACGCCGCCATAGCAAGTCTGCCGACCTTTATTGTTTGAGAATTACAATAACAAGTGTGTACTCCAAACATGGCGGCGTTTTTGTGCTTGCACTCCTATGCCGTACGTATTGCCCTGCGAATTAAACGGGGTCAAGTGGCTGCACCGGGGCCGAGCCCCTTTTCGGCTTTGAAAAGCCGCCCCCCTAGTCTCCGTGGCTTTTAGGCGTTTATATATTATTGGGCCTTCGGCTCGTATGGGTAGTTTTACAGGTATGGGGTCACACACACCCCAACCATGTAACACACACACACACACACACACACGCATTGCCCTCAACCCGCCACGTTATACGATTACCTTCAAAATCCTCCTCGACCATGCTCCCAGTCTCTGTCTCAGGCTCCAACAGCAACCCAGCAGCACAGTACACCACAATCAGACCAACCGGCATTGTCACCAACACTCACCCACCCAATCACCCACCACTCGATCCGTAATGATCATGCAGTGGTGTCGGACGTCTCTGGAGCCATGTACGGCGCCTGTAAACGTGTACGGATGTACAGAAGGAGGAGCCTGTGGTGATTATTCCGTAGCAAGTAATATTGCATAGCGAAAGTCTGCTAATGTTGATTGCGGTGGCCTTGGAAATGCATTTGCCCCCCTATCTTTCATACTGTGCTGTACTGTACTGGACTCGCTATTCGGCCTCATGCTGGGGGAGCTGGCGGAATATGACATCATGCAACTGCCGAAGCGGCGCTGAGGGCGTGGGGGTCTGTTGCTATTTAACCCTCCATACAGCTTGCCATCTGTTCCGTTCCGGCAGTCCGTACAGCCCGTACGGCATCTTGCTCCTTGCTGCTACTGCCAGCAGCTTCCCCAAAAGGCCGATGGCCAACACTGCCCCCGGGGGACCTGAACAGGACATTGCAAATCCCGGAAGGGAAGGGAATCTCAGATGGCGGAAGCGTATAGGAGGCCGTACTGTAATCGTAGCGATACGGACTAAGGTCCTTTTGCAGAAACCAATGCAGAGTAAGGATTATTACTGTGCCATTTCCGTGTTCATGCATTCGTGTACGGCATGAATATGTTATGCTGGTCTGGTCTGGTCCCCCCATCCCCGTAGTATTGTGCAGTGCCGCATCTTCTGTCTTGATTACAAAAGGTTCCTGGATGAACTCCAAGCTGCAGCCGTGAATAGTAGATCGAAGACGTCTCCACATTCGATAAGTTCTCCTGTACACAATAGTCTGATACGTGTAAGTCTCAGTCAACACGCGTACACCGGATGGCGTTCAGGTGTGCATAATTCAGCCTACTTATGCACTTTTACCTCGAGCTACCCCTGCCTTTTCATAAGTTTAATAAATCATCCAGTTTGTAAGGTATAACACTGACATTGATGGTCCGGACTTTCTTATGCTGAAGAGCGTGTAGGATTAATACTGGACCTGAGCGTTTGCCATATGTACGAGGGCCTGAGCTTGTCGATAACATGCCATATGCCGCAGCCTGGGATTGAACCAGGGCCCTTTTGTTTACAAGACAAACGCTCTACCACTGAGCTACAACGGCTTGGAGATGCGGTCCTTTACGGACCCCAGACAGTAACCTGGTATCCTACAGTGGGTCGGTGCTGGGCAAGCGTGGCCAGGATCCAAATCCGGAAGAGTGGATGAACAAGTTCTGCATGCAGGCGCAACATAACTACCACAGGGAATATGGCCTTTGCCTCCGCAATGGAGAAAATAAGCACTTTCCAGTGGCGGAGTGCCCGATGAACCCGGAGAAAAAGGTAAGTGAACTTGTCCATACGTTCACAAGCAAGTAGTTGGAGCACCCGCCTGTGGTTGCATCCCACCTGGTTAGCAGCACACTGGACAAGATTGGCGGCAAAGGGCATAAGTTGGGCAATTGTGGGTATGCTTGTGAGTGTATGGAAGTGTATTTACATCAGCGTGCTGCTGTCAAACGCTGACAGCGCCACCATCATGACCTCCTGTATGCACTGCTGCCAATGGAGGTGGTGAGAGCGGCAGGGCTGCAGCGGTGTCAACATCTGCAGCTGCAGAGGTGCCGCTAGCCAGCCTCTGTCATCAGCCTCTGTCATCAGCCACAATCACTACATTCGCCAATCGTGCAGTCGTGCGAGACCTTGCCACCGATGCGACCACTGTTTGTAGTGATGCTGCTGCAGCAGCTATCGGCCTTTGACTCTCGACCTCCTATATAAGCAAGGCTGGACCAGTAACGCTGGCGCATGGTTTTTTAAAGTACTGGGCTGTTGACTACGGTAACGGCAACAAGGTCAAGTGGGTCTCCTCATGTAGGAAATGTCATAGTAACACACAGGCCATCCATACACTTTGTAGTAGCTAGGGAAGGAGTTGGTGGTTGCGGCGGTTGTTGAGCCACTCAGGGGAGCATTGCATTGTGGTGCCTCTGAGGTTCTTGCAGGCTGCTGCACAGGGTGAGGTGACCATTAGGTCCCATGTGCATGTTCCCCCTCATGAGCAGTGAAACTGTTGCCAACCCGCCACACTCAAACATTCCAGCCTATCCGCAACGAAACTGAGTATGCCTGTCTCCCAGCAAAGAAAGGCGGGACGTTGTGGTTCATCACGAGGTGACCCTAAGTGGCTGCAAGGAAAGGAAATGACACCGTACACATGAGGCCACCACCCTACTGTTTGCCTGGCACATACAGAGCACCCGCTAACCTAGCTATTGACACCTTGGGACAACTCTATCAGCTCTAATCATAGCTGACACCAGCATTATTGCGGGAGTGACGAGGGTAGAAGTGGTAGGGTACCGTATCGCTGACAAGCAACGTCATTGGGTCAGCGGCAGACAGGTCAGGTCACAGGTGCTGGGTTGGTTTCGGGGCTTCAGCTGAGCCAGCGATGCAGTGCAGACATTGTACGAATGGCCGTATCATAGTACGATAAAGCTGCCGCCATCACCGCGATCTTCACCCTTGCACCCGCTCCCACCCCGGGACAAAGTTAAAGTGTCCTTGTTCCATTACAGAGCTTCGGTACTCTCGTTCCATATTTGCTTGCTTCGTAAAATCTCGCCCCTGCTGCCTTACAAGGGTGGCGAAAGGCAAGGCGGGGACCTTTGCATGGGTTGCACCACTTCTGACCTTAAGAACGGCATGGCCATCGCTTGCATGGCTGGGCATTGAATTGGCCACCCGCCAATTGAGCAGTGACAGCTTTTCGGGAAACAGAATTCCTTCCCTCACATTCAGACCGACAGTACAGGTAGTTGGGGAAAATAACGTGGTCGAAAATTTCTAGGATGTTATGATTTCGTCCCTGTCTTGGGCCTCTCAGCGGGGCTGCCGACTTCCCAAGAAGCGGATGTCCTCCTCCCCGTAATCGTAAAGAGGGGGCTGGCCTCTGACGCAAGGTGCATGGTGAGAAAAACGTTGCCATTGGCGTTCATAAATTATGATACCCGATCATCAGGTTTCGGTGTTCAATATCAGCGACCTCTTGAAGACATTAAGGCGCACGCATGAACAAAATATTTAGACAGGGCAAGCTGTTTGAAAGGCATTAATTTAACCCTGTGGGTGAAGGCGTTGCAGGCTTTGGGCGAGGCAAAGCTTTTCCATCAAACATACTGGTCTGTGAACGCGTTCCATACCATGCATTCAACCTTATATAATGTGAAACAACGGATTACATTTTGAAGGAAACGTATTGGTTGGACCCCTAAAGGGATTGGCCATTGGTTTCATCCATTCGAGGGCCCTGCGCGCTGAGTGGTCTGGTTCACTGTTTGCATCCCATCCTCGCATAGGCTAGGTCAGGCCTCAGCAGTTCGCACCACATTTGTCCTTGTTTGTTTGCTAGTGGAGTAGCCCAGGCAGTGCAAATATGCTGCACTCGGTGCACAGCTCGGGGTTTGCAGGTCAGCGCCTTCACGCGCGGAGGGTCCCTGGCGCTTTCCTTCCTATTCAAACATCAGGTTGGGATTTGATTATCGTTTCAGGGTGCACTGATGCGTTCACCACGCTTACCCCAAACGCGACCACACGTACTCTCCCATCGCAGCGAGCCGGTCGACGCGCCTTCGCGTCTCTGCAAATGCACCTTCTGCAGCAGCTGCTACTGGAGGAACTCCTGTACCAAAGAACAGCGTGCTGGTCGTAGGCGCTACGGGAACGCTCGGTCGTCAAATCGTCCGCCGGGCGCTAGACGATGGCTACGATGTCCGCTGCCTCGTTCGCCCCAGGCCCAACCCAGCAGATTTCCTGCGCGACTGGGGCGCAAAGGTCGTTAACGTGAGCCCCTTTCGCCCAGTGCCCTGATCCACATAAAGCGCGACCTCGGACGCGCTCGCGCGCCATCTACCATCCCCTCAAGCACACAAACGCGCACCTCTTCTGTGCCTCAGGCGATAACGCACCCGTCACCTCACTGCACTGCACTGCACTGCACTTCCGCTCCTTCCCCATCGCACACAACCCGCGGTCATTAACACAGTAATCACGTGCTCATGGGCTGTCGTGTCTTCCCTCCCCCACCGCTTTCCACCGCTTTCCACTTTCGGTCCCCCCCCAGGGCGATTTGACCGACCCTGCCTCCATTCCTGCATGCCTGGTTGGGGTAAACACGGTGATCGACTGCGCCACTGCGCGCCCCGAGGAGCCCACTCGGAAGGTGGACTGGGAGGGGAAAGTGGCCCTCATCCAGGCGGCACAGGTATGTCGACCGCGAGGGGGAAACCCAACGGGGGGGGAGAGAGAGGGCGCGAAACTTGCCGCCATTTGCACGAAACACAAAGGAACAACTTCAGACGCCACACCAGGGGGAGGAGGGGTACAGAGGGGCGTTTAACGACAACACGAACAGCAGAGAGTAAAGCACAGATACCGGAGATAGACGGATAGATACTCCAGATTAGAGACAGATACTGCAGGACTTTTTTTTGCGAGTTACCGACCAGTTGTAGTGACTTGGGCAGTAGTCAGGGGCAGTGGGGACGGTCGGATCAGATCTGAGCTGACCAGGTCGGGTCAGACAATGTCCGAAAGCGGACTGGTTAGGGGGGTTAATTAACGTATCTTGATAGGTCGGCAAAGTCATGAAGGAAACAACTGTCCGCATCCAAAACACCACCTGCTGGGGGGCCCGGTCATACAAAGTGGGGGCCGGGATGGGGTCTCAGATCGGAGCAGGTGATGTACTGCGACGGCCTTTCGGTCTGATGATGAGATACGGTTGGATAAGGTCCTAAGGCACTTGACGCAATTTCACACGCATGTGGATTCGTGTGGTGTTTCGTGTGATGCGTGTCGCGCACTATGTGTGTGTGTGTGTGTTTGGCGTTTGAGTGTGACCCTGTCCCTCCCATTCCCTCCTGTCAACACACACACACGCGCGCGCGCGCGCGTGCACACACACATACACACGTCGTCCCCTCGCACCCCGCCTAATCCTGAATACCCGATCCTAAACAGGCTATGGGCATTCAGCGTTACATCTTCTTCTCCATCTTCGATTGTGACAAGCACCCGGAGGTGAGGTTTTAGGGTTTAGAGCCGCGGGGGGGTTTAGGGCGCTCGGAGGTGGTGGGGTCATAGGAATGGTGCAGCTATTAATCTGGGTTCAACTGCTGACAGGCGAGGGGACGCGTGGGGGGTAGGGAGGGGAGCGGGTGTTGGGAGACGCCTTGGCATGTGTATGGAGTCCTGTGACCACGCGCATACATACATACATATATACATACATACATAAATACATACATACACGTTTGGGTGAGGTCGTTCGTGCACCATCCGCGGGGCTGCTTCCTTAGCGCGGTTAAGTTCTCCAGGGCCACTATTACCGGGTGGCTGGGTGAGGGTGCAGAAGCGTGGCCCATGTACATGATATTTATTACGACATGTTATCTCTGGAGCACGACACTTTGTGTGTTTCCTTCCCCCTGGTGTTTCCTGCCGTACCCCCGTGTCATGACTCACCACTCGTTTCTCTTCACGTGTTTGTTGCAACCCACCTGCCCCCTCCCTCCCACAACCCGCAGGTGCCGCTGATGAACATTAAGTCGTGTACGGAGGAGTTCCTGGCATCCAGTGGCCTGGACTACACCACGTTCCGGTTGTGTGGGTTTCATCAGGTAGCGGGGAGGGGAGGGATGGGGAGGGAAGGGGAGGGGAGGGGAGAGAGCCGTACATGCTACTAACCGAAGATCAACCGCCGCAAACTGTTTCTGGAGTCCCCGACGCAATGAGTCAGCTGCGGGTTATTTTACAGAAGCTCTCAGCCTGATACCCATAACATTTAGTTTATATTGCCAACGAGGGGAAGGCGGAAAGGGGAGACATGGTTTGGGGCCAGGAGCGGATTGAAGATGCCGTTGTTGTTGTGTTTAGTGGTGGTGTTATTCGGTCCTTCCAGGGCCAATACGGTGATGGTGATGTTGGTAACCACAAGCGCACACACACATGTTTGCGGTTTGGTCTCCAAGCACCCTCAGAGCGCAGTTGGGCCACCTTTCCAACCCCCCACACTCCCCATCACCCCCCCCCCGGCACTACCAGGGGGTTCTCACGTGATCCGACTCCTTGTACGGCAAGTCCTGACCCGTATCGTTCTTGTCTCGCGTGAGCGGCCCGGGGGAAGTGGGGACTCCCCGCCGTACATGCCGTACATCTGGCATCTCTCCCCGCACCACTTCTCCTCGCAGCTGTGTAACCACGAGCAGCTGGTTGGCTGAGCAGTGTTCGTTCCAGTCCTCCCCGTCTAGGGAGGGCTGTCTGTACGTCGGTCTGTCGTCACAGTCGACCTGCTCTTCGCTGCTGCTTGCATCACCTGATTTTTGCTACTCCCCTACCCCCATCCCTCGCCTCATCACCTTCACTCGTTCGTGGTTCGTCTTTTCCCCCCTCCTCCCTCCCCTTTCCCCCCCCCCCTTCCCCTCCCTCCCCTTCCAGGCGGTTATCGGCAACTATGCAGTTCCTATTTTGGAGGAGAGGAGCGTGTGGGGCACCAATGACGAAACACGCACCGCCTACCTGGACAGTCAGGATGTAGCCAAAATGACGGTTGCCGCGTTGCGGTAAGTTCGTTGAGGAGTTGGTTGGTGGTAGGCTGAGCCCCTGATCAAGGAGAGCCGTGTAGGAGGAAATTCTTCCCGCTCGCCACCAAAGAGGTAGTGTATGTATGTATGTATAATAACTGAGAGCTGCTGCGGGTAGGAAGCGGCGAAAAGGATGGCATGCAGGAGAAGTGATGGGACACGGTTTTTGTGTTTCAATGCTCTTAACTGGCTGCGTCTGTCTGCCTGTCTGTCTGTCTGTCTGTCTGTCCGTGGCGGGACGCATGACGGTAACAGTCACGTAGGAATTCTCTTTCAGGCAGCCTTATCCCTCTATAATTAAATAATGGTACCAGCATCACTCTTTCTCCTCCTAATCCCGTTCCTGATGTCGCTTACACCCCCCTCCCCAAACACACACACACACACACTCCTCTTGCTCCCCGGTTGTGGCGAGGGCGTTAGAGGAGGGGTCGGCATTCGGCGGCTGAATACCCCCCCCCTTGTTGCTTTGGCGCGTGTGTAACTTCCCCCCCCGTCCCCGAAACCTCCTAACCCCCACCCCTACCTTACTAATCCCCGCAGTACGGACAAGACCTCTCGCCGTACACTGACTCTCTCCGGCCCCAAGGCCTGGACAACCCGGGAGGTCATCGAGCTGTGTGAGAAGATGGCGGACACGAACGCCAAGGTGCGGCGGGGCTGACTTGTTGGGTTGCGAGCTGGGGTGGATTGGGTTGGGTTTTTCCTTGGTTGGTTGGGGTCCGCCAAGGTGTGTGTGTGGTGGGAACCCGCCACTGCCACTGTGGTCGTGCGGCTCAGCTGTTGTTGCTATGTATGTATGTGGGGGGTTGGCCGAACATGTTGGTGCGGGGGCCCCCAAAACACACATAGCTGCACACTCTCAACATGCTTGGCTGCTGACCTCTGGTGTGCTGCTGTGGGATTCCATTTCCGCGGTACGTCCCCTCCTCCAGCTGATATGGTGGAGGGCATTATCGCCGTGTTCCCTTCCATTCATAATCGCCCGCCACCACTCCTCAGAAGGCCCCGCGCAACCCCTGGAGTCGTAAAACCCTGAAAAACCTTAAAAACCCTGAAGACCTCGCTCGCTCACCCTACACGCATACACACATGTCACACGGAGCCCCGCGCCGCCAGCCTGCGGAACACCGCACCACCCGCATTTTCACGTCCCGCTGCCGTACTGCCGTACAGGTTACGACAGTTCCTACCTGGCTTCTCAAACGCACTCGGGGCGTGTTGAAGTCGATGCAGTGGGCTGCTGATGCAGCGGACCGACTGGTAAGGGGGGGGGGGGAAGAGGGGAGTTGGGAAACGACTGGTAACTCGCCTTTCTGCCCTTAAAAGTCCTGCCTACCTACCCTACTGGGCTTTTGATAATGCCCTCTTCAGTTCCCGCGTGCGTACAAAGTGATATCTTGTATCATATCTGTATATGCACTGCCTTGCTATCGAGGGAATGCATGCACTCATTTCTCTCCCATCGCCCATCTCCCCCTTTCTCCCCCCCTTCTCCTCGCCTCTTTGGCCGAATACCCTCCCCACAGAACTGCCTAAGTACCCACCACCACCCCCGGTTGCGATCTTGCTCCCTTGGGGCCTGCTCGGTGCTCGGCACCTTGCTTCGCGCAACTATGTACGGATGATTCGTACATTGCATTTTCATTTCCCGCCCTTTGCCGCCCCTCCTCCCCTCCTCTTGAAAGGCGTTTGCGGAGGTGTTGTCTAACAATGAGGTGTGGTCGGCCGACATGACGGAGACGTACCGCCTGCTGGACATGGATCCAGGGAGCGTAATCACCCTGGAGTCGTACTTGCAGGTACGGCAAGTGAGGGGGGAAATGTGTGTGTGTGGGAGGGGGAATGGAAGTGGAAGGGAAGGGAATTTAAATCGGGAGAATCGTCCCGTGTGGTGGTGGGGGAGGCGGGAGGGGAAGGGGGAAAGGGGAGACGGGACGATCGAGCGAGTGGACTCTGTGTTTGTGTCCGTGTCCGTGTGTGTGTGTGTGTGTGTTGTGGGAGGGGGATGGAGAGAGGTGCGAGAAGGTGCATGTCACCGGAGAGATGCCTGTGTGCCGCGATACGCAATGTATGCAGAAGGGTATCGCGACGAAATGTGGAGCGGCGGTAATAGGGTTGCGTCGCGTGTGTTGCGTGTGTGTATGTAATGTGTGTCTGTGTGTGTGTCTGTGTGTGTGACCTGGGCGCAACAGCGTAGGGCTTCCGGAAGCCTCATCGGTTGCGGGTTCAAGGACGCGGTGGGGCTCCCCCGCACGACCTCCCTCTTGCCTGCCTGAGACTGCACCCGCCTTACTGCAGTTCACTCCGTCAAGAGTCTGTATACCTGCCTGTCTGTCTCCTCGTCTGCCTGTATGTCTGGCCGATAATTGACCTGCATGTATCTGGCTGTCCTGCTCGTCCATACCCAAACACACCTCCCCCGCTTCCCCCCCTCCCTTTACATGCACACATACATACATACGTACACACGCTCGCAGGACTACTTCTCCCGCATTTTGAAGAAGCTGAAGGAGGTGGGGGCGGCGGCGGACCGAACAAACTTCTATGTATGAGCTGTTGTAGCAGCAGCAACCGCAGCAGCTGCAGGAGCTGCAGGAGCAGGAGAGCAACCTTGAGGAGCTGGAGGGGATACCCGGGGAGTGTTGTGTGTGTGTGTATCGTGTGGTGGGTGGTGGGGGTGGCGGTTGTGAGAGGGAGACCTAGGGGGGCGACGGGGGGACCGGAGAGGCGAGGCGAGGGGAGGGAAGGGGAGCAGGAAGGGGGGGTCCCATGTGGCGGGAGGAGAAGGGGGATGAGACCGGGAAGGAGGAGAAGAGAGGGTGGTGGTGATGGTGGTGTGGCGGGGACATGTTGCGGCATGTGCGGCATCACTCAGTGCAGCGCTGGAAGCGCGGGAAGTGGTTTTGTGTGTACGTCTGGTCATGAGCTGAAGCTGGCAACTTTCCCTGGGGCATTTTCCCCCGTTGCTCTCCCCCCCCCCCCGGAAACGCCCTCCTCCCACCCTTCTGTTATCTGATGCTCACGGGGGCCTCCTCTCCCTCCCCCCAAGAACCTCACCGGCCCCATTCGGGATCGATCCGCCAACCAGAGCCAAAACCCCCTTCCCCCGGGCAGCAGATATGGTGTCGGTTTGGACTTCTCAGTTTGGCAGTTCAATTTTGCAATTTTACACTCTTTTACATTTCGTGATTCCCGGTCGAGGGCTCCCTCGAGCAAACCAGGCAATCGTCCGCCGATCCCCCCACACCATCCTGGGTGCTGCTTGCGGGTTGCGCAGAGAGCTGGCTGGTTGTGTTGGTGTTCTTCCCTCCCGCCTGTTTCGGCGTTTTGTTTTCGTCTTCCTAGCACCTAGAGCCCCACCCGCACGCGGTCACTGGAGTCGTAGCGAATGCCTCGGTGCCTTGGGGGGCGGCGGGTGGGGTAGGTGGGTGGGTGTCTGGCGCGGCAAAGGGGGATGTCTGTGTGAGACCATTGTGCGTCCTCGACGTATCTGTCCACGATCTGCTTGCTGCAGCACTCTTTAACCCACACTGGTGGCGGTGGTGGTGATTGGCCTCCATGTGAAGGTTTGGCGATGTCATTTTTGAGAGCCACGATTTGGAAGGTAAAAGGCTCATCCCGCAATTCGGCCAGCACTGTCTTTTTCGAGCAGAGGGGGCTGGTGGCGTGGTGTGATGCGATGTGAGGGTGATGAGCAGGGAGTTATGCTCCTTTCTCTGAGCGCTTTTCCCCTCCACACTAAGGCCCCCGTGTCTGTGTGTATATGCGTGTGTGTATGCGTGTCTGTGGTGGGTTTGGGCGCAGGTGAAACGCATAACGGTGATAAACATTCAAAAATGGCGGGGAGGGCCCTGAAGGATGGCCAGAGGGGATGATGGAAATGTACCGCTAATAGGTGGGTGGCATGGGGGAAGGCAGCGGACGCGCGGAGAGAAGCAGATGCGAGAGTGCGAGGTGACTGAGACGACGGAGAAGCGCCTCGATGAACATAGGGTAGGCTTCTCGCGACCGTCAAACCGGATGGACTCGTGTGTTGCGCCATCCCCCTGTAAAAACAGATAAACGCAACTTTGCGTCTTGTTTCGGTTACCGCAGTTAGTAAGGGGTAGGCTGCACGTCGTCCGAAGACAGCATATCGCGAATATAAAGGCCGTTATGCGGTTATTGGGCGCGCAGCTGTGCATTAGCGAGTCTACTCGCGGAGGTTGTGAAGCCACATCAGTCGAAAGGCACCGTATAACAGTGCTCTGTAGTGCTAGTATCCGAAGCTGCAATTGGGCCGGTCTTCTTCCTGTAGCACGAAGTAGCCCGTTGGCGTTGCCTCCTTCAAACAAGATGATTACGCTGACTGATCCTGACTATGATGGTAGGGCTGGAGTTGCTCGTTTTTACCTCCCTGCGTATCGGTTTCTCCCTTACCTAGCTCAAAATTTTGAGCAATGAGAGGTGAATTCTTAAAATTGAGTAACGGTATGAGTCATACGACGTTTAAGCATGGACTAATTTCGTCTGGGGCCTCAGGGCCGCCATGAGCAAAATCCCTGGAACACATTGCGTTCATGACATATAGAAATAGGAATTCGCATTTACTTCCATTGGACAGTTCACCCGATGGGAAAGCTTGAAGCAAGCGCAGACCGGGAATGAGGTCGCTGCCGTACGGATTCTTTGGCGGGACAGCTTTCCGTTTATCGCCCAGCCTCTTACGTTCGACGCTATCGCTAACATGAACCGCATGGGTCAGCTAGTACTCAATCGTGTTGCTGCTTGCTGACTACTAGCGAATATTGCTAAACTATCTCTTCCGGCAACCGCAACCTGCGGTGATTCGACTAGCTGAACCGACACGTACTTCAGAATCTATCCCGGTTATGTTTTCTTGCCTGAGGCCTCCGAACATTCGGCTTAAACGCTCGCTTCTTTAACGGCAAGTTTCCTATTGCTGAAAAGTCAAGTCCGTTTGTGCTGGTCCTGGAAAGTCCTCAGATTGTGTCTTTAGGAAAAGCCATGGCACGCACCAAGCAGACGAACCCGGTAGGTCGAATGTACCCCAAAGTCAACACCTCAAACAAAGTGTGCTTTTTCAATCGCAAGCTGCGCAGGCTGTTTAACGGCTGCAGCAATAACATTAACAATTAATAATTCCTTGAGACTGAGCGTACGTTATATTTTTCTTTGCAGAATAAGAAAGGTGCCGCAACTGGGCGTGCTCCTGCGAGGAAATCGGTAGCTTCGCCATCCCAAGGCGTAGGGAGGGTTGCCGCTAAAGCTGCCGCGCCTCCTAAAAGTAAGTCGCTCATTATAAACATATGCACCACAGGCTTCAGCCCAGGTCGGCGCACGCCGCTCGTTGTGCCTTGGCCGCTTGATGGAAACCTGTTCCAAGTTGCCCTTAGTATATCCAGTCGCTCGGTGTCACCTTTTCCCCACCTGCTTGCACCTTCTAAGGAATATGAGCAGCGCTTGCACCCTGAGCAGCGCTTGCATCCTGGAACTCAGCACGACCCGACTGTGCACCCCCTAGCTGGGGATGTCTGCCGCTCGGGATACCGTCGGGGCCCTTTTTTTCTACGTTCTGGGTTAATGTTCACATGTCGATCCCTCCCACCTCGTTTGCCCAATTCAGCATCCCTCCCTGTTGCTTGATTTCCGTGTGTCTTCTCTTCACCCTTTCCCACCATCCTCTCTCGTCCAAGTGGGAATATTCCTTATTCTACGCCTAGCTCCTCTCAACCCCATCCCTCATCTCTCGCTTGCCCTGCCTCCGTCTCGTCCCTTCATTGTTTTCCTGATCCAACCGCCAATTAATTAATTAACCAATCCATCATCTAGCCCCCATTTTCCCCCCTTTCTCACCCCTAATTTCAGAGCCTCACCGATACCGGCCGGGTACTGTCGCGCTGCGAGAGATCCGCAAGTACCAGAAGACCACGGGGTTGCTGATCAGGAAGCTGCCTTTCTCCCGATTGGTGGGTGCCGCACCTGGCGGTTGGGTCTAGGAGCCCCACTAGCTGCTAGGGGGGCCGCTCCTCAAGCTCTAGCTGCTAGGGGGCCCCTTCTCAAGCTCTAGCTGCTAGGGGGCCCCTCCTCAAGCTCTAGCTGCTAGGGGGCCCCTTCTCAAGCTCTAGCTGCTAGGGGGCCCCTTCTCAAGCTCTAGCTGCTAGGGGGCCCCTCCTCAAGCTCTAGCTGCTAGGGGGCCCCTCCTCAAGCTCTAGCTGCTAGGGGGCCCCTCCTCAAGCTCTAGCTGCTAGGGGGCCCCTCCTCAAGCTCTAGCTGCTAGGGGGCCCCTCCTCAAGCTCTAGCTGCTAGGGGGCCCCTCCTCAAGCTCTAGCTGCTAGGGGGCCCCTCCTCAAGCTCTAGCTGCTAGGGGGCCCCTTCTCAAGCTCTAGCTGCTAGGGGGCCCCTTCTCAAGCTCTAGCTGCTAAGGGGGCCCCTTCTCAAGTTCTAGCGGCTAGGGGGCCCCTTAGCTGCTAGGGGGCCCCTCCTCAAGCTCTAGCTGCTAGGGGGCCGCTCCTCAAGCTCTAGCTAGCCAGCTCGCAAGCTGCTCTAGTTAGCTAGCTACCCCCCGTCAACCCCTTTAGTAGTGGGGGTACTTTGGGGGCCTAGGGCCATGACTCGGAGGCGACTACCTAAGCTTGAGCGCCCCACGGACCCCTGTAAGCCTGATCCTAGAACCGAAGCGTAACCAGCTCAGATCTCAAAAGCCCGAATTGAGCCTAGTATCAAGATGTAGATCGCTTAACTCTGGACATGGAGTACAGTCATTTTTCGCCCCGATTTGGACTTGGATAGCCTAGGCGCGGGGGGGTAGAGACAGATCAAAGCTGGAACCTTTTGGGGTCCGGAAAAAGCATTGGTTGGTTGGTTGGGGGTATATGTGAGCTGGGAAGGGGCTAGCGGACAGCGGAGTCAAAAGGGGGAGATGGTTTCGTTCTCAAAGAGGCGGGAACCTGGAGGCGTCATAACCGGAGGCTATCGTGGTGTAGGGTAGAGGGAAGGGGGGAATAAGAAACGAAATCGGTGCCCAAAATCCACAAGGTCTATCATGATCATGATCATCATCATCATTGTGAGATAGAAAGCGATGGAGATGGAGCGTCGTTTGAACATCCGTTCGCCGAGTACATCCAGTTCGGCTTCGTGATTAGGCTTGCGCGGCTTGGTTTGCTTGTGTCATCTTAGCCGTCTGTCTGTCTGTCTGTCTGTCTGCCGGCCTCTGCGGGAGCAACATGACACAGAGGCGCTGGGGAGCGCACACACACACAGCAGGGGGGAACGAGGAGGAGGGGGTTGGAAGAGAGAGAGGGAAGACAGAGAACACGTGATGTCGGCGTGGGGGTGGTCTAACCGCACGCATATGTGCATGCTGCATCGTATAATAACAGATAGGACCGAGAAATAGACCGTATGCAGACACATGGTATAGAAGGGTCTACATATCGTGCCATGGTATGGAAGATAGGCCTGAAAATAGGTATATAATAGTGAAAAGTACTCCGCAAGTTTACTGACATATTGCTATCGCACCCGGCACACCGCACGTCCGGTTGGACTGTTGGACTCCCGGGCAGGTTCGCGAGATCAGCAACACCATGTTGCGGGAGCCGTTCAGGTGGACGGCTGAGGCGCTGCTGGCGCTGCAGGAGGTGCGATGGGTGGGCGGTCTCCGTCTGTCACCATCCCTGCCTCGGGTAGCCTCGCTTCCACCCCTCCTCCCTCTTTCCCACCCCCCTTCCACCCCTTCGCCTTTTGGTCAGTTCTACGTCTGGTACACTCTTTTGCCCTGGCAGCAGCTTCACCCGTTCGTGGTTCGTCTTTTCCCCCTTCCTCTTCAACCTTCTCCTCCTCCTCCCCTCCTCCCAGCCATTGCTTTGGACGCCGGAAGTTGACTTCTTGGACTTTTGCAAGTAATTCCTCCCCCTCCTCCCCGTCCCTCCCTCCTCCCCCCCCCCTCAGGCCAGTGAGGACATGCTGGTTCACCTGCTGGAGGATTGCAACCTCTGTGCGATACACGCCAAGAGGGTGACAATCAGTTGAGTGTTGTATGCTGTCGTACGCCCTCTTAGGGGGAAGGAGGGAGGGGGCTACGTCCGGGCCAACGAGGGGACAAAGGGGATTAGTGTGTGGGCGGGGGTGGGAGTACGGGGGTATGGTACTGGGGGGGTGAGTGGGGGGGGTGCCCAGCCGGCCGCCAGTCGGCCTCTTGGTGGGCAGGAAGGGAGGGCGGGGGACAGGGAGGGCATCGCTCGTCTCCGCACCTCCCACCCACCACCGGGGTTGCCATTCTTAGGGGTCATTGAGTCTACCCACCCTTACCCCATGCCGCACACCCTTGGCCCCGCTGACGTTGCTCCCCACGTTGTGCTTCCCCCCTCCCCCCCCTCCCGGCAGTGCCCAAGGACATGCAGCTCGCACGGCGCATCCGAGGACCCGTCTACGGCATCTCCAGCAACTAATTGATGACGTGCGATTTAGAAACACTGACGCGCTTCTCTGAGGGGCCAGAGAGGATGAATGAATGAATGAACGAATAAACGAGTGGTTGTTTGATTGTGTGTGTGTGTGTGTCGGCGGCGGCGGCGCATGGAGATAGTTGTGATAGATTGATAGATTCCATGCGCTGCGTGCGCTGTGCGTGTTGCTTACCCTGCTGCTGCCGGCAGCCGTGTTGTCTTCGTGGCGCTGTGACATGCAATGTCATACTACGTCGTCTTAAGTTAGAGAGGTCTTTCCCGTCCGAGTTGTTTCAGGTACACAGGCAGGCAGACAGACAGACAGTGCCGCACATGCAATGTGAAAAATGGATGATATTTTTAAAGTGCAAAATGGGGGCATGGAAGCTGTGTGGTGGCGCGGGGAAGGGGGGGTCAGCCAGGGCAACAGGGATGGGCAGGGCAGGTAGAGCGAGGCGTGTGAAGCTGCGACGGCAAGTCGTCATGCAAATTTGGGTTGGGGATAATCTGCAGCCATATCTGGATATTGTGCCATGGCACAATTGCTGGACGAAGCAGCTGTCCTCGAGGGGGACACAGCGTGAGCTTTTGGTTTGCTTGGGGTTGGGTTAGGGCTGGGTTAGTAGCTTTTCTGTCGGCTTCACTGTGTTCGCTTTCCACCCCTAGGGATCAACGAATGTCCGGGTTTAGCACTTGTTGACATACGCACGCACACGCACATACAGACAGACTCTTCCCGACAATGACACATGGGGTTACTGTATTGTGCACGTACGTATATGTATGTATGTATGTATGTGAGGCGGCTTTCTCCAGCTGCTTTAGGAAGCGACTGATGATGTCGTGGTGGTTGTAGTGATGGTGAGAAAGATTTCGCATGTTGCGCTACTGGGTTTACATGGGCCCTGCATGCCCCCAGGGCTACACGGTGCATATCTTTCTGACCGGGAGGTGCTACGATCTCCTAGGGGTGGTCGGGTAACAAATGATGGAATCGTGTTGATGCGGGTCCCCAACAGCCCAGCAGACGGGGCGGGCTTGGTGGTTGTATGATCGTTGCTAGAAGTATTTTTGGCTGCTGGATGCGGCCGCTATCCATCAACATGTCACATCGACATATGCGTGTACCACTGCTGCACTGCTCCACGTGCTGGTAACGCAGTTGCGCGTCAGCAAGAGACTTGCCCTCCTCCAGTACAACTACTAGTACTATTGCTGCTGCCTCGGCCTCCTGACCAAACAGGCTCATTCCCCCCCCATCTGCCGTGGAGGACAACGGAAAAAAGCCGAGTTTGGCAGTGTGCGTATGTGGCGAATATGATGGGGTTGGGGGCATGATTGGTCTGCTAGCCTTGAATTTGCATGTCGCGGGATACGCCCTCCCTGGCCTTCCGGAGTATCCTCGTCAGTTAGTTAGAGGCTCCCGACACTGCTACTTACTTGTCTTTGGTTCTCAAGAGACGTCCACGTCCTGGGAATGGAACACTTTGTTTTAAGTTTTTGGGTTTCGGCAACTGACATTGAGGGGGTAGGGTGGGTAGAAATCGTAGTTATGTACCCCACGCGTGAAACGCATTTGATTGGGTCATTAAGATCTGCGTTTGAACATGTTTGGTGTTGTATGGAGTAACGTTGGCTGTGCAGCAGGTATGGTGGGGGGGGTTGGAGCTGCAACTAGTTTCGTCGGGAACCCCGGGAACTTCGGGATGCAATTATGAAAGCATAAGTGGCTGCGACGCGACTTGAGACACCTCTTGGCTGTATGCCAAGCAATACAGTGCATACCAAGTCGTATCACTTCTCTTGCCCTATACCCCAGGATTTATAGTTGTTATGTGTGTGTGTGTTACATGGTTGGGGGTGCGTGACCCCATACCTGCAAAACTACCCATACGAGCCGACGGCCCAAGGGCAATACTACAACGCCTAAAAGCCACGGAGAACAGGAAACATCAGCCCAGACTAGCGCCCAAAGGGGATAACTGAGTTTCGGGTGAGCCCACATACGTTCCAACATCCTCGCCAGACGTGCTGGCTCCCATTTCATGGCCTCCAACATGCTCTGTTGATGATCGAATCCCTCTTCAGCACGAATATCATTATAGGCTGGGCATTCCAATAACACGTGTTTTTCATCCTCGATTCGGCTATTAGTACCACAACAGCGGCAAAACCCCTGCCCCCTGGGGACATGGTACTTGCCCCTTCGTGCTCTGTTTGCCTCCAAAGCCCAGCAACATAGACGAAACTGCATTAGCTTACGATGTGCTAAACGAGGAATGAAAACCTTAGCATGTGTTGGCCACATGACGGCTGCGGCTCCCGACCCATCCAGTGCTTATACTTCGCCATTTGCACTCCCGGTTGCTTCCCATCTGATGGGTACTCCTCTGGCAAGGCAGTCAGACGCGTATGGTCCCAGCCGCTCATCAAACGCTCTCTCAGCGCCGTTATCATCGCTCCTTCGGGTAGAGGCCTACTCAACAACCAGTCAACACGCTCCTTTACCCCCATGACTTCTTGCGGTATTCCGCTCCAAGAAGGAAAACAGTCGTAACATTGAGGTTCCCCAACCCTCCCATTCCGGGTTGGTCAGGGCATCGGTTATCTCCTGCCGTAGAACTGCATGAGCAATGGATCCCACTTGTTTTTGAAGGCGGTTCCAGAAACGGAGGATATGTTTCACCATGTAATATTGTAAGGGGAGTTCAGCCAGCTCCGCGTACAACAGCCTGTGGAATGGCCGTGCCGTCCCCACTACCTGCGTCATGAATAAAATCTGCAGCTGGACTGCGCTATCCTTCAAACAGGCTTCGAACATGCCCTCCGCAAGGTTGGCTTTATCCCGCCGCCTTCCCGCCGTGTCCACGACCTCTGCCAGCGCAAAAGGGCCCCACGCCTGGCAGCCATACAACAGAATTGCTCAGACTTGGGTTGCAAAGCACCGCATTTGCACGTCCAGGGGCAAACAGCTTCATTTTGCGCTTAAGGAAAACATAGCGGACCGACCTGTATCACATAACTGCTGACGGCACGCACTAAAAGGCCGTTCTGGCCCGTATACCAAGCCCAGATAGCGAGCGCTATCTTTGGCAGGTACTACCTGGCCTGACAGCCGTAACTGTTGACATCTCTCGCTAAGCTCCGACTGCTGGGTGCCGTCACATGCAAAAACAAGCCTTTCACACTTTGAGACATTTGGTCGCAGTTGTTACATATCGGCTCCTAGTTTCCCTCCCCCAGACCTCCCTCCCCCTGTCCCTCTCCCTCCCTGGACTGCTCTGGATGCCCGACTCCGCACTACAGCTCGCTTTCCTGTGTTGTTACAGGGGCACCCAAGTTTCTAACTATAAAGCAAAGAAACCGAGCAAAAGGACACATCGCCTGTCGCTGTAATAGACACAAGCCTGGAAAGGAAGCACTCGTGATCCATACCGGGATGCACCACAACTACGCAAACTCGGCTACGACTCGCTCTCCAGCAGGGGCCCCTCCGCCTCCTGCCGCATCTCCTCTCCCCCGTACACATACATGCATACGTACATACACACGAACCTCGTGCCATCCATCCATCTTGTCCCCGCGACACAGATCAGAAAAACACATACACACACTCCAACACAGATCAGAAAACCACTCCACACACACGCGCAACATGCAGGCAGCTCCCACATACGCGCATACATGCATACACACACATATGCACACGCCCCCACCCCCCACCCCCCCCAAACACACCCGGTGGAGCCACCTAGGTCTCCCCGGCAGTGTCGCCTCTGTGGCGGCAGGCGGGTTGCGGAGGCCGCCCAGCGTTTTTTTTAAGTAATATATTCCTTAAAAGGAATGAACAGGCATTTTGGCCTTTGGAAAAAAGGAATGAATTGAGGCCGACCCGTACATTTTCATTCCTCCAGCCCAAAACGTGCATTGCTGCCAGATTGCTCCGTAGTGTGCAGAACTTAGTATTTTCAATCATAGAATAGATACGAGGGGCCTTAAGAAGGTCAAGACCGTAAGTCAACGCGGCATAACAGCATGTATGACCGGTCCTCACATAGCCAAACACGCACAAGGCAATGACTCGAACGTCGAACAGACACTAAAACAGCAAGATAAGCCTGAAAATATTCCTGATAAAGGCGTTTGGAATGGCGGTGCTGTTGTCGGTAATGCATCGTCAATGGTGTTGCTGCCAGCGGCGAAAAGTGCGCACATGAACGAAAACGCGCCAAGTCAGTGCGTTTCTCTTGGTCTATGAGGGGAGTTGTAACAGATCGGGGGGGGGTCTGGGGGTCTGTTAAAACCAGCAAAGCGCCGGACCCCAGCCGGGTCCTATTACTGTGGTTACCATTCTCTGGTATATGAGAGTTGGTCATCTCCAACACCCCCCGTGTGCGCCACTCTCTTGCTCCGGGCCCTCCCGTGCCTCATCCCGGTCTCCCAATCTCTGGGCGACAGCCAGTGAATTTCGATCCAGCGATCTCTCGGCAGCGCAACGCGCCATTCAGGGCTCATAACCTGTTAAAACCAGCAACACGCTGAACCCCAGTCGGGTCCTATACCTGTAGCTACCATTGCCTGGTATATTGTTTTGCAGGGTCTAGTTTACAAGACCCTGAGTGTCGATCATTTCCAACAGGGGGGCGGAGCCCCCCCCAGCGCCTCACACTTAAGGAATAAATTACGACGACCCTAGCAACTTTGTTACTTAGGTTGGAATAAATTGAGACCCGCCCTAAATGAAAAAAAAATCACTGGGGCCGCCGGGAGCGTGACGGTGTGCTGAAGTGTGTTGGTGGCGTTTGGCGGCCCCCTGGGGGAAACCAGCACCCCATCAGGCACCCGGGTCATCTGTTCGGGAGGCCGGTCGGAAGAGTGCAGGTGGCGTGTGTATGCGTGTGTACATATGTATATGTGTGTGCATGTGCGTGTCTGTATGTCTATCTGTATGTATGTGTGGGGATTGGTTGAGCGTATTGGGAGAGCTTTGTTTTGTGGTGGTAGGGGTGTGGGGAGATTCATGGCGAATGTGAACGTATGGGATAGGCAACAGTAAAGTGTTAGGAATTACGTAACATAAAAAGAAATGAAGTATAATACAAATATAATGATAAATAAAAAGGAAACGCAAAAAATGTTTAGAGTACTTTTTCGACGGACTTCGAGATAACAACTTGCGAGCTGACCAGGAACTAAGTTGAGGCGCCGTTGATCCGCTAGATTTGGTTGGGTGCTGGTGGTGAGTTGCCGAACCCAAAGAGTACAGTCTGAAATCGGATGGGGTGAATGGATTAGGGTGCCCCTCTAGCAGGGGAGAGCAGGGAATTGCCTCGGGAAAGGGGGCCACTGGTGAAGCTTAACCCACCCTGTAACAACAACAACAGCAACAACAACAATGGAATTGCGGGCCGGTGGCTCACCTACCGGCTCACCCCACCTCCCCTATACCCCTTCATCCCCCCTCCCCAGGTCCACGTCACCCACCAGGATGTACTGCAGCAGCACCTGCTGTATGCCTCCCTGGAGCAGTCAGGCGAGGTCAGCCGGGTGGCGCTGGAGGGGATCGAGGCCAGTACGGCATTTCACCAGGTGAGGGTTCCACCCCGCTACCACTCCGGCGTTCATGTGCTGTCCATAGCTTCAAGTGTGTAGTCAGGGGCGTAGCGTTAGCGCTGGGTATGGTGCACGCCTGGCGCGGGTGTGCGTGGGCAGTTACAAGTTCAAAGATGGCGCTGCACATGGGCAAGGCGCTAAGCTCCGCCCCCTCCCAGCTCGTTGATGTTGACACGGCTTGTCCAAACCCCATGCAAGAGACCGTGCACATGAAATCATGACACACCTCAAGTGGTGAGCAGTATGGCCCTCGTTTTACGTGCGGCCCTCGTTCGTGCCTCCGTTCTTTGAGCGCCTTTGCGGAGCTCTAGGACAGCGAATCAAGGTCACTACAAAATTATTCGCTGTCTACAGGATTCGAACCTGCGCGGGGATCCCCAGTGGATTTCAAGTCCACCCCCTTAACCACTCGGGCAAGACAGCGCTGTTTTTTCGCAGAAGTTCGGCATACTAGAGCGCGCTGTTCGCGCGAGTGGGCCGTAGCTCCGTTGCTGGCTGATTCCTGCATTGCGCGGACGTTGCTGGCTGATTACTGCATTGCGCGGACCACTATGTGCCGTGCTCCTAAGGGCCGCTTGCTATATGCAAATCAGCTGCGGAGCTACGGCCCACTCGCGCGAACAGCGCGCTCTAGTATGCCGAACTTCTGCGAAAAAACAGCGCTGTCTTGCCCGAGTGGTTAAGGGGGTGGACTTGACA